TATAAAAGCAAAAGACAGTAATGGATTATATCTTTGAGCCATTAACAATGCTCTGAATGTCATTAGTGTATTTATGTTAAGGCTGATAAAAACCTGTAAAGAGCCATGTTTACTAGCCTGGTCTCTCTGGGCACTTAAATCTACCCAGTGTTAACCACCCGGAGGCCTGGCCAGTGTCTCACATGCCAGCTCGTGACCTGAACTTGCTCTTGGTAACAGGGAAGGGGTGGCCTACGGGGGTCCTCAGTTCTCCCATAGCTGCTCGGGCTCTAAGGGGGAAGGCTAGAAGGAACTGTGCTGGGCATGTAGGTACCCCACGAGTGTCCTGGCTCTGAGAAATGGGACAACAGCCCATTCTCCCAACTCAGGGGCCACAGCAACCACTCATCTTACAAAGAAGATGGCACTCGGAGGTTTGGCGACAACTGGGCCACATCACTGCTTAAGGACAGACCCATAAAGCAGCTGAGACCATCCATGGAGTCCTCTCCTGCTTCCCTATTTAAGATTAGTCCCTGCCAATCCTAAATAGTCATGGAGCTCCCGGGGGGCGGGGGGAGTCACTGAGGCTCAAACAAGCTCCTATTGGCTCAAAAGAGAAGAAAGGTCAGGAGAGTGGTGTTCCCAACATGGCCACAAGCCAGGAATGAATGACAGAGTATAGAAAGGAAGTGGGAACTGGCTAACCCCAGGTAGAGGCATCCTGTGATGGATGTTGAGGGCCTCAGCTCATTAGGAACACTTCCCTCTGGCCAGGTCCTTTGTGGAGTCACAAGACAGGGTTAGGGTTAGATCTTAAACCCAGAGGTTTGGTCTCCCTTTCTCCCTCTTACATTGTGGAGAATATGGCACCACAGGCCAAGGCTGGCACTTCAGCTTGTTTCCTTTCTGCCTGACAGGGTCTTGGAGAGCGAGGAAGGTCGCAGGGAATATCTGGCCTTCCCCACCAGCAAGAGCCCAGGGGCTGGGCAGAAGGGGCGGAAGGACCTGCTGAAGGGCAATGGCCGCCGCATTGACTACATGCTGCACGCTGAGGAGGGGCTGTGCCCTGACTGGAAGGCTGTGAGTCTGAGGCTGGGCCCTGCAGCTGTGTACAGTACTTTGAACCCAAACCCCAGCCCGTGCTCCTTTAAAATGAAAGCCATCATTTTCACAGCCTGAAACTCTCTGGATACACTCTGTAAAACCCTAACCCGCTTGGCCCCACATCTGGAACCTCCCACCCAGGCTGTCATTCCTTACCCTAGAATTCCCCTTTATAGATCACCCTCTCCCTGGATCTAATCAGAATGTTTTTCTACCCCTTTTCCCCAAACCAGGAGGTGGAAGAATTCAGTTTTATCACCCAGCTGTCCGGCCTGACCGACCACCTCCCTGTGGCCATGCGGCTGATGGTATCTGCAGGGGAAGAGGAGGCGTAGGCCAGCCATGCCACCGGCATCTCAAGCAGTGGGGCCTCTGCCAGCCCTTCAAGCTGCAGGCCATAGGCTGTGTCCCCTCCATTGAGCACCTAGTGCTAGGGGAAGGAGGGCAGGGAACAGGGAAGAGCCCGTCAGTCCCCTGTGAGCCTGGAAGCCAGGCTGCTCTGTGCCTCTGGGCCATCTCTGAGAACAGAGGTCTCAGGCCAGCCTGGGAGCCCCTGGCTGCCGAACCAGTGCCATTCTTTCCAATCACAATTTTCTACAGAAATACACAGCACAACATAGTTTGTAACCCGAGGGTTAGTATGAGGACCGGGTTTATGTACTCTTTGTATCTCTTCTCCAGCTTTGTCCAGGGTTCATTACTTTTGTCTGCTGCCAATGTTGTCTCGCATGCCTGCACCCTCGCATGCACGCTGCCCGCATGCCATGTGCCACACTGTAGCACCCAGACCCCTTGCTCGGGCCTCACCTAAGGCCAAACTCCAAACACAATCAGAACCAGCCAAAGAAGCACTTCCTGGGCACAGCTGCCAGCTCTCCACCTCCAGCTTGGTGGGGACATGAAGGCTGTCCTTACCTGCCAGCCCAGGGCTCTTCCCAGGGTCTTGCATTCAAGGGCGATTACATTTCAAAAAGAAAACGTTAAACAAAATCACTCTCTACTTAGGGTCTGTAAGTCACTGGGTAGAACTTTGCTCTTTCCCAGCCCACAAAGCAGGGTCCAGCTGGCTCTGGCCACCCCAGCATCTCCTGTAGACTGACACTGGCTGTGGGGCCGTAACAGGAAATCCAAGAGGGCGTCACTTTTGTACACGCAGGGGACTCAGAACATAAAGGGGGGAGGGTCTGATTTTGAAAATGACAGGTTTTTAGCTTCTTCTCTTCTATCCAACATGTCCTCTTCTGTGGGCCCCTTGGGTTCAACCTTTTCCTGAGGACTTAAGCTCAGGAACCTCTTGCCTGCCCCCAAGTCAGGCTGCAGCTCTCGCCTCCCAGGCCTACCCTTCCTTAATAGCTACCCCAGCCAATGCCATGTCTAGGAGGGTTCCCCGGAAGAAGCAGCAGGAAGCCAAGATGTAGAAAGTGGCTTCTTCACCAGTGCAATGCTCAGGTGGCCAGCCAACAGCCACTGCTTGTCTACAGCAAGGCTGATTCCAGACTCCACCCAAAAGCCACTGTGGCCAGAGCCAGCCCCAAGCTCAGCACAGTAAGACTGCTAGAAGCCCACTGTTCTCCACCTTGTCCTGCTCAGGTGCCCAAGACAGCACTGACTCTGCTGACCTACCTTCACAGAGCAGAGGCTGACCCCTGACTCCAAAGGGAAGATGTCCATCTCAGGCAGGTGAGCTCCAATTTGACAGCCCTGCTGGTTTCTTCAGAGTGCTCTGATCTTGTATCCAGCCTAGCTCAAGGCCAACTCTGCCTGGTGAGGATGGAGGAAGCGTCAGGGCCCTGCTGTTGGGACCTCTAAAATGCTGGGGCCCTAAAGCTGTGCCTTGTCACCCACTAAGTAGCAAGAAGAATCAAGAGGGGCACACATTCAACAAGATGCCTGGCCCTGTGCTGGGTGGCGAGCCTTCGGAGCATGGCAGCTTGGCGTGTAATACTGGTGATACTGGTCTGGCTAAACCTCTTAGCCAAGAGAGCCCTTCCCATGCGCCAGTGTCTAGAGCGAGGGGCAGCCTTGCTGGGTGCTCTGCCTGCCCCTCTTCTGTCAGGGCCTGACCTCCCAGGAATCTAGGAAGGCCTCGTGGAATGAAGGCTCCCTATTCCTGAAAACAAACAGGATTCTGTTGATGCAGGGTACCACTGGGCAGGCCCAATCCTTAAACCAATGGCACTGTGCACAAGGAGAGTAGATGAGGCCAAGGCCAGGATCCCTAAACCTGGGTTACACCCTTCTCTCCTTCCCAGCTCCCAGGGCGGCCTTGGGCAAGTCACACTGCCCTGTGCCTCTGTTCTCTTCTGTGATTACAAGGTCACCTCTACAGAGTCAGGTACTGGAGTCCAGAGGAGGGACGCCTGCCTTCTAGCTCCCCCACACGTCTCAGCACTGAGCCCATGACCATCTGCCACACATGTCATTGTGGTTTGCCTGTGGACTCAGGCTTGTGTACTGCCAGGCCTTTCTATTTCAGCTTCTAAAGCAGCAGCATTGCCAGGATTCCAGATTCTGTGAAATCTGGGGCCTACATGGGGCAATCACAGGATGGCCTGAATCCTAATCATGGCTCTGCTGCCTGGGACCCCTCAAGGGAATTGCTAGATAAGTGCATTAGCTTAGGAAGGACCATTTGCTCATCTTTATTTGTCCAAAACCACCTGGAGTTTTAAGTATAAATATTAACCTTGATGCTTTTTAACTATTGTATTAACTTGCTCAGATTTAGAAATACTGTTTTAAAAGAAAAAGAAGACACTTTTTTAATTTCTGTATTTTTTTTTTTTTTCTGTATTGTATCCTCATGGGACATTAGGGGTTTTATATGGTAAGACACCTAAGGTTTTGGTAAAACATTATCAAACATATATCCAGACGATTCTTCCCTAGAAGAAAAACAATCTGTATGGCTGATTTAAAAAAAAAAAAAAGTTGAAAAGAGGTGGATTTCTCCTTTATGGTGCTTGAAAGGAAGGATGGAAAATGAGGAGAAAATAAAACTGTGAGGCTCAAGACTGGTGTTCTCATTCTGTATTATTTCCATGATAAAACTGGAGAGGGCCTGTTCATTTCCAGCACTGACCCCAGCCTACGGAGTTTGGAGAATGACTATGAACACATAGCCCACGTCTACCTGAAATGCCGGGGCCTGGGCCATCTGGGCTCTACTACGGAGTCCCTCACAAATCACTTTAGAACTGACAGGTCATTAGCAGGAGTATAGGTGAGAAGAGGTGAGACAAGGCTGTGGCCAACCCGGGAATCTGCACTTTCTGCTTCAGCAAGGAGAGGCCATCACAGCAAGGGCCTTCAGACAGACAGACAGACAGACAGACAGGAAAAGGCTACTCTCCTAGTTCTCTTTCCAGTGGATTCCCATGGGGAACTGCTCGAGGATGACCTCTTCCCTGGCCTGTAAGCAGCAGCCTGGTGTCCAGGACTTAAGGCTTACCAGGCAAGCTGCTGGTGTGCACTGAGGCCAGATAACCAAATGTTTATGAATGTGGCTTGGTACAGCTCCTTAGCAGGCAAAGCCTAGTCCTCCTGACCCAGGCCTTCCCAGGGACACAAAGCCCCATGGAGCTCCCTGGAATGCCATTCTCTAAGCAGAGACCTAGAAATTCCTTGAAAGCAGATAGGCCAAGTAGGTTCCAGCTAAGTGGGCAGTCCTGCATTTGTGCTAATGAAGGTTATGCCTCAGTTCTTCTCCAGGTAGAACAGGAAGCATTATTGTGCCAGAGCCTTCTCAGCACTCAGAATCACAAACCATTATCCCTGGTGGATTCAGAACTCTTCCACTGGTCACCAGTCTATATTGCCTGCCACGCTGATGCTGTGCAGATGCCAAGTAGGTGTATGCAAGGAGTAAGTTCCTTGGCTTTCCTTCCCCACTGAGCCACAAGCCATTCAGACTCTGCAGCCTGTTAGCCATTTTATTTCTCAACAATAGATGATCAGTTCAAGATGTCTGCAAGCCTAAATGCCATGGTGATGTCTCCAGTGAGGGGGTGAAACTCTACAGCATAGCTGACTGACTGAGGGCCATCCAGAGGCAGTGTGGGATCCAGTGTGGTGCTGAGGAAGTACACAGCTTGCTTGCAGTGGGGGTTCCAGCAGCAGTTCCCCTGCAGGATGAGCAGCAAAAAGATGCGAAGGGTCCCTGGCACCCAGACCACCTTCCCAGCCCACGTAACTAACAATGGGAAGTAGCCTGGGACACCTGGGAGTTATCTGCCCTGAAGGGCACAGAACAAGGCTATTCAGAGCACAAGAGGGAACGGGTGGCTCTAGAGCAGATACATACTCTGGGCCTGGTGCCCACAGTACTACCTTGTCTTCTGCAGGGTTCATGAGGCCGGTGCTGACTGTGCTGTCTGGAGTCAGCTGATATTCCATCCAAAGGACAGCCCCATGGCTCTTCCCGGGTCTGGGAGGGAATACAGAGCCCAACTGTCACACTGACACGGAGGAGTCCAACTAGCACACCCTTCTGCTGTCCTGAAGCCTCAACCTTTCCCATGCCTTCCAATCAGGAGTTTATGTGCTCCTTACACAACGGTAAATAAATACTAGACAGAGCCAGAGCAGCCACACAGCTCCCAACCACACACTCCTCAGAGCCTGAGCACAGAAACCTCTGAGCATGGCTGTTCCTAGGGGCTGGCAATGAAGAGTTCCTGGGCAGTGGCACCTACCCTGTCCTTGGTGCTTGTCCCTGGTGCAAAAAGCTCTGAGATTTGGAAACTTTGCTCCCTTAGGTAGGAGACAACATTCTACTGTGAAGGGAGCTGGAGCTGGGTAGGGTCTCTCCCACACCTTGCAGCAAGCAGCCCTCCCTCATCAATCCTGACCTGCTTTAACTCCCAAGAGAGTTCAGGAAAATGGGCCAGTGGGTAACCATAGTAACCAAACTCATGTTTGTCTGCAGCTTGACACAACAAGGAGCTGCAGGTGGGGAGGTAAGCAAGGTCCACTCAGTTCTCCTTCACCTGCACATGCCCAGACACTGTGGGACCCTCCACAATGCAAAAGATGGGTGAGATGGAAAGACATATCCTGAGCCAAGGATTAAGAGTCTCTAGGCTGGCTGTCCTTCACAACTGTGTGGCTGATAAGTGCCCCTACTGTCCTCCCCTACAACTCCTGTAGTTTCCACTCACCTTCTCAGCTCCATGGAGCCCTTGGCACACACAGGCTGCTGGGGGATGGGTTGCTGAAAATCAAAGGTCAGGATCTGCTGAGGTTCGGAGAGGCTGCGACAGGGGTACTCCCACAATGGGTGGGGTTCTGCCTCCCTGCTCTCTCGGAAATCCAGGGAGCGCTAGAGAAGAGAATATGGATTTGTAGAGATGAACTGCAGCCAGCCAGGGACACCCACATTTCCACGGCCCAATCCTTGGCAACTGCAGTTACATGGAGCAGCATGCTGTCATTTAACACTGGGTGCCTGGTCATCACAGCCAGTTACTCCCCTGTCATCCATTAGAAGGTCACTTTGCCTCCCCAAACCTCAGCTTTCTTTACAAACAGGGATGGCAATGCATACTCTTGACCTATTCTGAGGACCAAATGACTTTGTTGGGTCAGGGGCATGCACTCCCTTCTCACTGATCCTGCCTGCTACCATGACACCATCCTGATAGGGAGCTCAGAAGCTTTGGGAGATGGACATGTAAAGAAGCAAGTCCAGTGCCCAGGAAAAGCACTAGCACCTATTCAAGAAGAGGCTGTGTGGGCAGAAGCAGGACAGGGATGCTGCCCAGAGGTGACACTAGGCAGTAACTGGAGGCCCAAAGACTGAGAATAGAGCCTAGAAAAGAGCCAAGCAGGAAGGCGAGGTGGTGGTGGCAGAGAGAACTCCAAGGGGTTGGGTATGATCCTCGCCTGCAGGAGGATGGGCCTTGTAAGATGAACATTTCCTTGGACACCATGTACAGGAAGACTCGGGTAGAAGAGGAAGGCGGCCATAGAGCAGAGGCTCTGACAAAGCTGGCAGAACTGGAGACTCCCTGGGTCCCTGATGGGGCAGCACTGGAAGGGGAGGCACAACTGGCAGCCAGGTCCAGATGAGTAGAAGGCTGCAGCACCGAGGAACACCTCCTTTTCTTTCTTCCTTCCTTCCTTCCTTCCTTCCTTCCTTCCTTCCTTCCTTCCTT